GTTCCAAGTCCCATCCCAAGCCCTGTTGCAGGAATCTCAAGCTGAGATACAGGACATTGAGGCAGTTTAGCAGGAAGCAAAGTTATATTGTGCCAGCACAGAATCAGCAGACTCGTGTCTAAAGTCTGAGCCCCAAGAACAAAAAGGTCTCACCTTCTATACACTTGCAAGCAGGTTACAGAAGCAAAAGCAAAGCTCAACCCACATATGGCTGCATGTGACTTCATTGGCTATTTCATTTCCCCAGTGCTTTGTGATGTTCTCCATGTTTCAATTCTTTAAGTTTTCTTTCTCTGCTTTGCCATCCCTTTCCCCTGCCTCATTATTAGAACACAGCCTGTCTGTTTCTCTTCTGGTCCTCCTCCCTGCTATACTCCCAGGAGGAGAAAGAGAAGCTGAAGAAGCAACACAAGGTAACCCCGAAAGCCCTGGTGACAGATTGGCAATTTGAAATGCCTATTGTTTAAGAGTGAGGTTTTAAAACTCACTCAGAGTTTTAAACTCACTAGGAAGTTTTGGAACACCCTGACACAGGGTCTGGGTGGGAAGTGGCCATGAGAGGTGATCATAGAGAAGGAAAGGGTCTGACATGGTCCTGCAGAAAAGTTCAAGCAGCAGGAAGGTCCAGCAGCAAAGAGCAGAAGCCCCGCCCTCTTTGGGGAGAAGTCCCATCTCCTGGGAATGTGGTGGAAACAAAGTACTGACCTATAGCTGGCATAGTATTAGACCTCCTGCCTACGTGTGTGAGCTATTAGGTAGGTCTGAATATCACACTTTGAATTATGTGATATTCACAGCCTCCTTCCTCACACAGGGAGGTGAACTTCCGGGTAAGATCTGAAAGCACTGAGGTCCACCTCCAGGAACTGCATCCTAGCAGGTGCTTCCTGCCAAGAAGGTATAAGGGCTCCAAGCCTAGGTCTGCCAAATCACATGAATTCCACAGCCTCTTCCTCCCCATATAGAGGTGAACTGCTGGAAAGGGTTTGTAAGTATTGAGAACATCAGGCAGAGTGCCAAGGTCTCTCAGTTCTCCTCCACTAAGTGAAGAACTCAGTGTTCTGTTTGCCTCCCCCACTGTCTGATGCATTTGGGGGTCACCCTGAGGCTTGAGCATTTGCTATCTATGGGGACACGAACTGGGGTCTTGTGGAGCAAGTGGGAACCTGCCTGGATAGCAGACCATAAACCTCCCTGTAGCCAACACCAGATCCGAATACACAAAGAAGGACACTTTCTATACAGAAAGTAGCCCAGAAGCAGACAATGAGCCCTTCTATAAGAGACTCCAATTAGTTTTTCTCAATCAAATCAGTGCTAGGGATCAGGTCCAATTCCCTGATCAAATGGGTGAATGCTTGGCTACTAAGCAATACCCTTAGTCCCATGGTGAGAAATAGCACCCCAACCTGGCCACTGCTCTATCCTATCTGAACATTGAGAATATTTCAACTGACAGATTACAAGTAATTAAATCTTCCAACAAATGACTTGGTCTCCAATGCATAGATCCCAATATAGAAATACAATAAATATGAAAAAACAATACAACATGACTTTTTCATAATTCAACAACTCAACAATAACAAACACTAATTATAGCAAAGTGGATGAAATCTCAAAGAATTTAAAAAATGATTCTAAGAATTATCAATGAAATTAGAGAAGACATGAACAAATTCCTGAATAAATTCTAAGAAAACTCAAAGAGCTAAATGAAATAAAGAATACAATGCAGGGCTTGAAAGAGGAATTCAATGAAGCTACAGAAATTCTGAAAAAATCAGAATGAAATTTTGGAAGTGAAAGGTTCAATAAGTCAATAAAATCTCAGTTGAAAATTTCTTCAATAGACTGGATCAAATTGACAGAATAACAGGGCTTAAAGACAAGGTATGTGTGTTTGAACAAAAGTAAAGAAATACAGACAGAATATGCAAGACCTATAGAACACTATTAAAAGATCAAACCTATTAGTCATGGGTATAGAAGAAGGAGAAGAGTTGCAAACTAAAAACATGGAAAACTTATTCAGTAAAATAACAGCAGAAAACGCCCCACGTCTTGAGAAAGAGATGATCATCCAAGTACATGAGGCTCTTAGGACTCCAAAAAGACAAGACCAGAAAAGAACCTGCCCATATCATATTATAACTAAAACATTAGACGTACAGAACAAAGGAAGAATATTGAAAACTGCAAGAGAGAAATGCCAAGTCATCTATAAAGGCAAAGCCACTGGAATAACAGCAGATTTTTCAAGTGAAACTTAAAAATCAAAGAAGGCAGGAAATTATGTATTTTAAGCCCTAAAAGAAAATAACTGCCAACCTAGATTACTGTTCCCTGTAAAGATATCTTTCATAATTGAAGGGATAGTGAAAATTTTCCATGACCAACAAAAACTAAAGCAAGTCAAGGTCACTAAAGCAACACTACAGAAGATACCCAAAGAAATCCTACACACAGAGGAGGAAGATAAATACAACCAAGAAAATACAGGAAAGAATAAATCTTACTAGCTGAGTAGAAAAAAAATGAGGAGTAAGGGAATTAACCAAACACTACAAATCCAATAAAATGGCAGGAATTACTACATGCCTTTCAGTAATAACTCTGAATGTTAATGGTTTCAATTCTCCAATCAAAAGACATACTGGTGGATTGAATTAAAAAAACAAGACCCTACCATTTGTTGCCTACAAAAAAATTCACCTCACCTGCAAACACAAACATAGGTTAGAATGAAAGGATGGGAAAGATTTTCCAAGCAAATGGAGTCTAAAAGCAAGCAAGGATGGCTGTAGGCTGTACTCATATCTGACTACAGAGATTTCAAACCAAAATTAATCTGAAGAGACAAAGAAGGTCACTTCATAGCAATAAATAGAATAACCCAGCAGGAGAAGATAAAAGTTTAAAACATATACACATTGAGTGACAGGATACCTAATTTCATAAAGCAAACATTACTAGACATAAAAACACAGATAGATCCAACACAAAAATAGTGGGTGACCTTAATGCTCAACTCTCACCAATAGACAGGTAATGCAGATGAAAAGTTAACAAGGAAACTTCAGAATTAAATGTTACTATAAAATGAACTGTTAAAATGAATTTAACAGACATCTACAGAATATTCTACCCAATCAATATCCATGAAACGAACTTTCTTCTCAGCAGTCCATGGAACTTCCTCCAAAATAGATCATAGGGTTGACATAAAGTCAACCTTAACAACTACAACAAAGTTGAAAAGATTTCCTGTATTTTATCAGACTACAATGGAATAAAACTAGAAATAATAACACAGAAAATATGTGAATGCATGGACATTGAACACTCACTCTTGAATGATCAGATATTCTTTCCTATCTAAGAAATGAGGAGGAAAACAAAAGAATTCCTAAGACCAAATGAAAATGAAAGCACACTTACCAGAAACTTTGGGACACAGCAAAGAGAGAAGTTTATAGCTAGGAGTGTCTTCTTTAAAAAACTAGAGCAAATATCCAAAGAAATGTAAGTCAGCATATAATAGAGATATCTGCACATCCATGTTTATAGTACCACTGTTCATAAGAGCCAAGTTATAGAATCAACTGATAGGTGGATAAAGAAAGTGATATATATAAAATAGAGTATTACTTATCCATAAAGAGGATTGCAATTATGTCATTTGCAGGAAAATGAATGGAACTGGAAATCTTCATGCTAATCAAAACTGAGATATCACATATTTTCTCTCATATGCCTAAAAAATAATAGTGACACAAGTGTAAAATGGGGGAACTGTTTGGGGGAGAGAACCAGTGGGTGGAGGGAGGACGAAAGGAGAGGGTGAAGGGGAGAGTGAATGTGATCAAAGTACTTCATGCACATGTATGAAAATAGAACAATGAAACCTGTTAAATTGTTTAAAAGGGGGAGAAGGGGATAATAGAGTAACAGAGGGGTCAATTTGATCAAAGTACACTATATGCACGTATGGAAATATCACAATGAAGCCCCTTTGTACAATTAACAATAAATTAATAAAAATGCTTTTCCTTGCTTGTAGCTTTGGTCAACAGAGTTATTCTGGAAACTGAGAAAATGCAGTCTCCTGCTCATGCCTTGTCTTCTGCTTGGGAGGAATTGTGCTTCTAAAAGAGATGGCGATGCAAAACTCACTCATGACAGAGGCCAGGAAGGAGCCTGGCTTGTCCCCAAGTGCCATAGGACCTATTGGACAAGCTCGGTGTTTCCCCCTCTGTGAGATGCTTCTGAGGACAGAGCATGACTAAGGGATTCTCGTGCACTTCAGATGAAGGGATAGATGAATGTGTCATTGTCCTCAAATGCTGAATGTCCTGGCTTAGACTCAGCATCAGATTTTTACCTTTTAGGAAAAAAAAATCCTCATTTGTTCTAGATGCTCCCAGATGCTGCACCTTTTATCCATACCTGGCACTCAGGTTTGACCCAGAAGATAGTTGGGAAACTGAGAATTCATTCTCTGTCCAACTCAGGCTCTAGTTATCTCCCCAGTCCCACAGCTCAATGTTTAATGGACATTTTAGATTTTCATTAAACAGCGCAGGATGAAGAAAATGGCCTCATCTTGGAGACAAGCCCACAATTTGGAAAAGTTACTTGAGCTTATGGACAGTGGTCAGCTATCTTCTGTCTTGCCTTGTCTTCCTCCCTCCCTCTTTCTCCTTCCCTCTTGCAGTACTGAGATTTGAATGCAGAGTCTCCTGCTTGCTAGGCAAGCACTCTATCAGTTGAACCTCATCCCCTAGCCCTTTTTCTTTTTGCTTTTGTTTGTTTTTAGATAGGGTCTCATGCTTTTGTTCAGCTGACCTCAGACCATGATCTTCCTACCACTGCCTCCCAAGTAGCTGAAATTACAGGTATATACCACATGCCCAGCTATCTTTTGTGTTGATCACTGGGAAGGAAAGAGGAGAAGCATTCACGTTCTATATGGGCTATTCTATGCTTCTGACTGGAAGAAGTCGATGCTAGCCATGAGAGTCTGGTGACTTTGACTTGGTGGCTGGTTGTGAGTATGGCTTAGAGTGGATGTGAGGGTCATTGGTGAGGAGCTGAGAACTGGTGTAGGAACTGTACAATGATCAGGGCACTATGGCAGTGTGTGTGTGTGTGTGTGTGTGTGTGTGTGTGTGTGTATCTCTGTGTGTGCATAGAGGAGGCAGTGTACACGTAAGAGGCTTTATTTTCTTTTCTCCACTAAGAATCCATCTCTGTATCTCATAGTATACCCGAAAGGGTCATCCCTTTTCTGTGCCCTCCTCTTTGTTGATGACCACACATCTGTAAAAGGACCAAGAGTGCAAGTCTTGGCAAGGCCCTACTGCTCCAGTTGCCATCTCCCAGATCTTCCACCTCGGGGCAGGAGCAAGGCCTAAATGCGAGTCACAAAAGCTGACTTCAGAGGCCTCTGGCACCTCCTTCTGACATGCCCAAAGGCATTGTGCATGCTACAGCCATGCCTTCCTTGAAGCTACATCTAACTTGCTGGGAAGGGCATGAATCAGTTGGCTCCCTTGAAGAGGAGGGTTGCAAAGAAATAAGGCTGGAATGAGCTGGCTCTGCCTTCCAAGGCAGACGCTCTATGCCTGGGCAGGAAGTAGAGAGCACAGAACAGACTTTTATGGGTCTTTTCCTTGAAAACTGTTCTTTTCTGCATCTAGAATACAGGCTGGTCCCAGCCCAAGGGACTCCAGTAGATTGATTATGATGATGATCCCAACTGTACCTGTCTCCCTGCGTTCATGTTCTTTGCAACATGGTCTCCCATCAAGAAATAAAGTTCACTAACCCATCCTTGCATCTGAGGCAACCTCACGTCTTGCTTTGGCCATCAGAATGTGGCCTGAACATTAGCTTCAAGAGGTCTTGCCAACTTCCATTTACCCTGTGGTCCCTACAATAACTAACTCTGTGTACAAGCCAGGAGGAAGGAAGAGTATGGCCCAGATACATTCACTGACCTGTAGCTGACTTCAGATATCTGAGAAACCCAGCTGAGACCAGAAGGCTCACCTCACTGAGCTGACCCTAAATTGCTGACACACAGAATTAAAAGTCAGTTTAATGGTTGGTGTTTTAAGCCACTAAGTTTGTGGTTGATTTGTTTTGCAGAAATAGATAACTGATACAGGCTCCAGAAGAGAAAGAGGAGGCAGAGGGCTGCTCCCAGTGGGAGTAGGTGAGATTAGGAAGGCCTGGATTTTTGGTGAGGGTGGGAACTGAGAGCCAAGAGTTGCCAAAACCCAGAAAATCTCAGGAAGTAGGTCTCACTTTGAGGATCTCCTGGAAACAGGGCAGGGAAAGCCAAGTTCTCCAAAGAAGACAGGAAGAAAGGAGCTTGGGGCACATTGTGCAGAAGAAGCAAGGACCAGGACACTTGGTTGCCTGGGGAATAAATAATGCTTTAATATGGATAGGGAGTGTCATTGTGCAAGCGCTCTTTGCAGGTGCTCTCTTCTTCCAGTAGGTAGTTCTTGGTCACAACACTGGGGTGGATTCCTCTAGATATAAAATCCTGGTGCATGAGCATCAGGTCTCCAGGAAACTCAGCTAAGGGAAAGAGATTTCGGTTTGTTGAGCCTGTGATGGACCGCTCCCGTTTCCTTAAGTGAATGAATGGTTTGCATTCATTTGGATGGCATATTATACATTTTGGGGGTTCTTCTGACTTGAAACTGACATTCATTTTTATTTCTTGTCTTTTTGTGGTTTTATGCTCCGACTCCCCTTTCTCCTCCTTCTGATTGGAATTATCACAGTAACCATTATCATGTCTATCCCCTCTTCCTTGGCCTTGTCTCTTGTTATTAGGCCCAGGCCTGTTCCAGACAGAAAAGAAGAGTTCCTGAATCTTTTAACATATGGAAGCAGCTGGTTGTTTCTCAGGGCTCGTGCCAGCTGCATCCGCTCTATGTGCTTGTTGATGTTGACCTTCTCTCGCTGGGGCATTTTAAACTCCTCTGCAGGTACCACCACCTTTGCTGTCCATATTTTCTCTATGGGTCCACACACAGTGCGGGGAGGGGAGGACTGTTTTTTACATTCTATCATCTGTTTGTGGTCTGAAGACATCAACTGGAGTTCCTTCAGCATTTTCCGTTCTTCCTCTTGTTTATCAGCCAAAAACCTTCTTGCTGCTACAGTGTGAACACCACCTAGACGCTGAGAATGAAAGGGGATTGTTAACAACCCACCGCACAGGGGTAGGCAGCCACTGCAGACAGAATCTGATAATGGCTGAGTCTTCCTCCACTGCTGACACCATTTGAGTCCCTGGTACTGGGGAAAGAGGGCAGAGCTTTGGGGTCAGACAGGCCTGGGTTTAAATCCTGACCCTCTCTCATCTATTATGAATATGGAGGAATTTTAATGGCCTTACAGTGTTACTTGGAAACCTCAACAAGTCAGTGTACATGAAAGCAACCAACACAAGATAAGAAGAACTCAAGAAAGAGCAGTTTTCATCATTCATTACCTCTTAATGCTGTTATTCCTAATTGGGACTTTTAGGTAAGACAGTACTTTGCTGTGCAAGTATGGAATCCACTGGTAGACTCAGACAACTGGAGTACACTGTTAGGGAGACTTCTCTATGGCTGGTGGGTTTTTTTATAAATTTTTTAGATTAGAGTATATTTGTTATGGGGGGGATTCATAGTGACAATTCTGATTAGGCTTCTATTATTGTACATTATTTACATTGCCCCCATCATTTGTCCCCTCAACCCCTTCCCTGCCCCACTTAAAGGAATTGCAAGAGGTTTCTTTGTTCTATTTCATATAGGTATATGAAGTCCATCCACCATATACCTTCACCTTAATCTCCTTCATCCACCCTCCCCCTCCCACTATTACCCCCCCCCACACACACCGTACCTATTTTACAGTCCTGTCGTTTGTTATTAATATTTAAGTTGATGTTCAAAGGGGTTTCTCAGTGTATCCCCACTGTGAGTGTACTTTACTTTGGTCCATTCAACCCCTTCCATTACTCTCCCTTACCCCTTTACCTCCCATCCCCCATTTTTCAACAGCTTTCAATATGCTTTCTTATATGCTTCTACCTTCACAGATGTTACAGTCTATGATATTACTGATGCTCTATCATTCTCATTAGTGGGTTTTGACCTGGGGCTCCCCCTAGCTCAACGTACGCAGTTGAGGGGCCTCTCCATGTGTAAACCTCGGGACACTTACTAAGATCTCTTTTTCCAAGGGAGAGTATTTCCCAAGGGCAATGCGAGGGTCTGATTTGTAGAATTTGGTCCATATCCTGGAAGGTAGAGAAGTAGGCAAATTAGAATTCTGGGAAGGGTCTTTATATTTCTCCTTCTCAGACTGAGAAATTCACAGAGGATGGTTCTACATTAGCCAAACCGAGGCCATCCAGGAAAAGACTGGAAACCCAAACAATACTTACCCCAATGGTGATGTGGTACATAGGTTCTCTTGGCAGTACGGGGGTTCTCGGTCTGGGAAGGAATAGCTGGCACTAAGGATTCTATCTGACTTTATATTTTTCTTATTTGACTTCCCCTGTGCAGGGTTCCTTTCTTGGGCCCTTGAATGTCCAGCCCTCTGTGTTTCAGTCCTCTGGCAGCCATTCTCCCATTTTCCAATCATACTCTGGAAATAGGCTTGATGGGAGGTGTTAAGGCCTAGAGTTTGTTTCTAAGACAGTTTGCTGGGAGCCCAAGGGACAGTTAAGCACACTGCATCATAACAGGCCTACCTGGGGGCTATTGTGAGGTCTGCGGTTAAAGCCTCAAATGACTCCTGGGGTGAACTAGGCACATACTCCCACACTCCAGGCCTGGAGCTCCATGAAGAGAGTGGGGCCTGGAGGTAATCTGACTGCTCCATTCTTCCAGGATAAAAAGACTGCAGTCAGCTAAAGTCTCTCTTCTGGTATTTACTTGCCTCTCCAGGAGCCTCGTGTTTCATCAGTGCCCCTCTGTCCATGGCTCTGGGAACGAATGTCTAGGGTACTCTTCTCAGTCACTGTATCTGGAAAACCTCGCTGCTCCTTGGCAATGAGCTTGTTGCTCAGGGCCCCATTTGCTTGGTACCTCCTCTGAAGACCTCCTGGCCAAACAAATCGGCCCTTTGTTTGTTTGTTGTAACACTTTCTGTACCCTGCTGTGGTGCTTTGCCTCATGCTGGCTAGATTGTCCAAGGAGTCTGTCTATCCCTGTACTTGGAAGCCGGGTAACAACAGCATCTTATTTCTTGCCATTCAGTTGCTGATCATGGAGTCTCTGGTAGGGCTCAGCTTGTTGGCTCAATAAACAACCATTCTGGGTCATGGGTCAAAGGTGGGGTCAAGAATGTTCCTGGTTAAAATGGGTATTTCCACAACTCCTGTGGAAGGCAATCTGGCAATATATAGTCAAAATTACAAGTGAACATATTCTTTGACCCAATTCGTTTGCAAAATCAAATATGTAAAAGTTTAGTTAATGCAGTCTTGTTTGAATAACAAGCTTAATGAAAACCCCCATGTCCATTGATAGGGAACTGGATGGAGTTTTTGGTTAGCTGTATGATGGAATACTGCATAGGAGAACAAGACTACAGGAATAAGAGTTCAGGGGGGAAGATCTTTATGTGCAAGTATCTCTGAGAATTATTGCTAAATGCAAAAAGCAAGGCGAAAAAGTGCATAAATTTAGACTAACTTTTTGTGTTGGGGAGGAAAATAAGCATGTGTATTTGTATAAAGAAACTATGGAATAGTGCACATAAACAATACAGTCACCTTGGACAGGCATCAGCAGAAGAAGTGGTAGGAATGAGACTTATTCTTGTCTTGAACTTAAAACCATCTGACGATAAGTAAGACACCTAAAAAATTAGCTAGCATTTGTTGCCCTTAACGCAGAGAAACTAAAGCAGATACCTTAAAAGCAACTGAGGCCAATAGGAAAAGGAGACCAGGAACTAGAGAAAAGGTGAGCTCAAAAAGAATTAACCTAGAAGG